ACTTTATTACATGTTTATTAAGATAAAATTTTTTAAATGTATAAAACTATAACAATCACATACTTTTTTTTATAGACAAAACTCAGTTTAAAAAAAAACTTTTAGTTCCCCTTCCCTCTTTTAATTGATTGAGTTGGTTGCAAATAATAATGGCTGGTAGTACCCTCTTATGTTTTCATTATGATTAAAAATAATTTTTTTTTAAGAGACAGAGTCTCACTTTGTCACCCTTGGTAGAGTGCTATGGTGTCACAGCTCACAGCAACCTCCAGCTCTTGGGCTTAGGTGATTCTCTTGCCTCAGCCTCCCAAGTAGCTGGGACTATAGAGACCCGCCACAATGCACGGCTATTTTCTTATTGCAGTTTGGCCAGGACTGGGTTTGAACCTACCACCCTAGGTATATGGGGCTGGCACCCTGCTCACTGAGCCACAGGTGCCACCCAAAAATTTTTTTAAAAATTAAGAAAACTACCATGAGATATTTCATCCCAGTTAAAATGGCTCTTGTCAAAAATGAGAGGCAATAACAAAGGCTGTCAAGGATGTGGAAATTATACACTGTTGGAGGAATGTAAATTAGTGTCACCACCATGGAGAAGAGTGTGGGAGTTCCTCAAAAAACTAAAAGTGGAACTACCATTTGACCCCACAACCCCAGTGATAGGTGCATTCCAAAAGAAGGAAAAAGTGAAAAGCTATCTGTGCTGCTGTGTTTGTTACAGCACTATTCATAATAGGCAAGATTTGGAATCAACCTAAGTGTCCATCAATGGATGATCGATAAAGAAATTGTGGTACATATACATGATGGAATACTTATAGCCACAAAAAGAATGAGATCCTACCAATTCCAACAACATGGCTGGGACTGGAGAACACTATGTTAAGTGAAATCAGCCAAGCACAGAAAGACAAATTTTGCATGCCTCATTCATTTATGGGAGCTAAATATTAAACAATTCATTTCGTGGAGGCAGAGTAGAATAATGGTTACCAAGAGCAGGGAAGGATAACAGGGAGGGGAGATAAATTGGGGAAAATTAATGACTTCAAAAATATAGTTAGAATTAACAATATGTGATAGCACAACTCAGTGACTAATCAACAATTTAGGGTCTACTTTATGATAACTAAAAGAGTGGAAATGTAATGGTCCTAACACAAAAGAAAATTCATAAATGCCTAAAGTGATGGATGCTCCAACTACTCTTGATTAATTACATGTATGGTTGTAGCAAAACATAATATGTGCCCTATATATACGTACAAATATTATGTACCCATAAGAATTAAAAAGTTTAAAATAATAAAAAGTAACCTAATTTCATAAGAAATACTATGTGTCACAAAATAATCTGTGAGAAGCGTAGTATTGTTAGGTGTTTAGAAATCCTGTAATGTCTGGTTTAATAGAAGACGGCTGAATACTCATTCTGCCTCCGCCTCCCATCTATTGCACTATGTTGATTTGGTGGAAGTATACCAAGAAAATTAGCCTCCCACACACATTGGAAGAGCATTTTAATAGTATTTTCAGATAACTATGTGTATCATTCTTTGATACATGTACTACATGAAAATCAACAAGTGATAGATATTGTCTTAAATTTTAGTTGAAATGTGGAATATGAAAATTATCAATGAAATTTTTAATCCATGCAAAATGGGAAACATATGCACTGTCATTAACATAAATTTATTCACTGGATCTCCGGATCTTCTAAACATTGACATATTTCCTTATAAAATATCAAGAAATGACATCATTTCACATTAGCATTGTTTGTATCAAAAAGTCTTTAATATGGGGAAGCTGACAAGCTCCTATCGAGAGATACAAGTCTTACAAAATTCTGCTTTTGCCTCAAGGGTCAGTTGTTTTCCTTAAAGTGGTAGGTATACTGTGTTCATTTTCAAAAAAATGACTGGCAAATACCCACGTCTGAATAAACATAAAATAATTATCTCATTTATAACAGAAATATATGTGTGTTCACATGTTTATTTTAGCCTATTAATGAAAGTTCAATGAACTCTTACTAACTGCTTTTCTGGGAAGTAGAGAAAAAGAAGTTTGGTTTTTAATTTCTTTTGCACAGTTTAGTACAATTTGAATAGTTTCCACGGGAATATATTTCTTTAATGTCACTTGAAAAACATTATACTAGAACCTCTGTAAGCTGACCACCCAAGTGGCTGTAACAAACTGGTTAATATAGGAAAGTGGTCAACATAAAGAACTAGGACTACTATACTGCTACATGTATGTGGTACATGTCTGGTCTATGAAAATTAGGTCAATTTGGGTGGTGCCTGTGGCTCAAAGGAGTGGAGCACTGACTCCATATGCTGGAGGTGGTGGGTTCAAACCCAGCCCCGGCCAAAAACTGCAAAAAAAAAATTAGGTCAATTTAAGGAGGTAGGCAATGTAGGAAGGTGGTCAACCATGGAAGTT